GACCCAGTAAAACATTGCTTGTGATGTTTATGTCACTTTAAATGATTTTGCAATGGTTGGGTGCAGATGGGTGGGGTACCTTTCACAATTGTAGTCTTTTGAATAATGCAGCTGCCCTATGCTTGTATGCACTTTTATTTTCAATACATGTTGCAAACAAAATGTATGGTAGGTTTAAAAGGAAACTCCTTCTTCGCACTTATTTATTATTATTATTATTATTATTATTAATCATTATTATATTCAGCTTTCAAATTTGTGCAACCATTTCAAAACAGATGCACAAAGCATCTTAAAAGGCACTATCAAGTTAAAATAAGTTGAATAATTTGCTATTATTATTGTAACTGCTCTCTCTCTCTCTCTCTCTCTATATATATATATATATATATATATAAATTAAAGCTGCTATTTTATTAATTAATTAATTAATTATTAAACACATGCAAAGGAGCACAACAAATAACATATAACTCAAAGTAATGGTCAAGAGGAAACATCCCCAACACCAACAAGTCTCACCAGAGGATGGGGTCATTGGCCAGCTCACTGAAGCGCTTGCACACACATGCTGCACGGCACAAGTCCTGCTCCAACAGGTACGAGAAGATCTTTAGCACCACCTCGTCTGGAAGCTTCTCCTGCAAATACTGCTCTGCTGGAGCTGCTGGGAGGAGGATGGCCATGGAGTTAGAATAAAATACTTTGAAAGGACAGGGTTTTGGGGTTAGACAACAGTAGCCACACAAGCATATTTATAGTAAGATTATGTGAGCAACCAAAACCATCTCTCAAGTCACAATAGCTAATTAAGGCTCCTTTAAAATATTTAAAACACGTAACAGATCTGAATTGTCCCATCATTGTCCTGCTGCACTGTTGAATCCAACATTGATGTGAACACCCTCAATGCTGAAAGTCAACACTCTCAATCACAGTATAATTACTATCCAGTTCTTACTCCTATCTGGGTGAGCATTGCTTCAGTAGCCCGGCTACCTGAAAGCGAATTAACATATTAGCCAAGTTTGGGGTATGTTATTAAACACTGAACTTAACTTTTTATCTGTTAAGCTTTCAAAAACGTTCTACCTAACGTCTATCCAATGAATGAATATCTATTTACATTATTACTTTAATTATATTGTTCACATTTCACCTTCAGGGGTAACCGGCTGATTTCAATTCATGTACAAATCCACTACTTGTGCAGTATGTGTGCAGCCTGGATGGAGGCCTATAACAGTGTGGCTTTAACTGAGATCCAAACACAGAGACAGCAGTAACACCGTAGACCAGCAGATCTAATCGCATTCCAACTGCAAGATGTTAGAGCTGAATGATATATAGTTTACCCAATCTTTATAATGTACACATCTGCAACCGTTAGACTGTAAAAACGCAATATAATCAGGTGAAACAGGTTTAGCATATATAAATATATATCTATCGGGGATTTTGCATCCAACTGAAAATAGGTGACGAACTGTGAAGAAAAACATCATATTTGTTACTTGGAAGTAATTTTGGTTTTAAAGCAGATCATGTGGAGCAACTGTGAACACAACACAAGGCAATGTGACTGTTTCACCACAAAGCCAGAACCAAATGCCATCTAACGGGGCAAACATCTATTTCAGACGCTTTGGCCAGAGCTGCACCGTATGAGGAAGACTCCAAATGCCACAAATAACAGACTGTATAATTTCCACTTTGTGAAACTCATGGTGCTCCTTCATGTCTTTACCAAAGACAAGTAAAGAGATGATCTGAACTCTTGTAAAGAGCTTGATACCAGTGCACATCTACCTTTCCTAGACTGACATTAAGCGAAAGGTAAGCCTGGACTAGAGGGTGAATACAGAATAAAGGTGTCATGTTCAATTCACAAAAAAAAAAGACAACTTCCTTTGTTTCTCTAAAACCTTTTATAGTTGCTTGATATCTCTCATTATGAAACTGAAAGTGAAACTTAAAATGTAACAATCGGCAAATAATAGCTTGTGTTCATAACAGACTTTGTAAACAGCAACATTGTGTATGATGCACTACCAGCTAACATGAGTGAGTCAACACACCGCTCTCATTGTATTTAAAGAAAAGTAATTAATCCATAACCCTACTCAAATTACCCCACGATTACCCCTCACAAACACAATGATTAATGCACCTTTGTAGAAAATCCACATCTCAAATAATGTGATCCTAATTACCTGGTAAATCTTGACATTTCCCGGACACTCTGGGGCGCTTAGGTCGGTGTCCAAAGTTTTCTGTGGTTGAAGTGGAAGCACCCTGTAGATTGAAAATGTAGGTGGAGACATTAAAACATAACATAAATTATAGTATTATTTATTATTTCATAACAATCAAATTTTAATCAAAAAAAAAAAAAAAAAAAGGAGATTCCTAATATAAGTACCTCCATGTTTGTCTTTGTCGGACACACTGTTCTCTTGGGTAGAGACTTTCTTCTAAGTTGGTAGGGACTATTCTGAGCTCCTGGACCGGATTCTTCTGCGACCATATCTGCAGGAACGTCCTCATCTGCAAATGGTGGACAAAAAAAAAAAGAAAAAAAGATTACTTATACATACAAGGTCACCTCATTTTCAGTGTGTTGTCAATAACATATTCATAATGTAGCATTTAAAATATGCTTATCTTAAAAGTGAGTCTGTAATAGATATTCCTGAGTTATCACTCAATAGTAATCACTATGACTACATAATACACAGAGTACCTCCATGCAGTTGATTTCTGTTCTGACATGCTGTACCCTGCCCTCCTTTAAATACCAGTCACATTCTGAAATCTACAGTATAACCCAATGTACAACTTATTGTTTACCATATCACTAGAATTTCCACTTTCATAAATACATAGAATAGTAAAAAGCAACACACTGTAACAACAGATTACCAAAGGCAATTGCCTAAACAGTATTTAACACACAGGTCACACAGCAAAACCCAGAAAATACAAAAACAGGTTTGTTCATTACCTGCTCTGTATGCTACAAATTGATTACAGATCCTATCTAGAGGGGATTCAATCAAGAGAAAAACAAAACAACCATAGCATCAACCATGAGCTAAACCAGAGATCTATTTATAAGGCTATTCACCAGGCATGATGAGTTTATAGCTACCCCAGATGGGAGATGCAAACTCCCTGCTTGTTGCTCTGGTTGCAAGGATGACTCTCCCCGGCTACTAGGCCAGTAACCACTACAAACACTGTCTGTGTAACTAACTGTGCCAGTTAAAGCGACTTCTCTGTCATCGCAAACTAAAATAATACAAAGGTTCCTCTACCTTGTCTTGTTTGACTAAAAGACACACATTAAAGACCACATGTGTACATCGGTGTCACAGCAAATATACACTGTGTGATGTAAAATGGACAAAGATACTGCCTGTTACCAACCACACTATAATTTATTAATTTAATGTCACCTTAAAAAGGACAACTTAGCATTGCTTTGCACATCTGGACAGAGAGAAATAGGTGCCATGGCTGCATAAATTAATTGAGAAAGGGAGACTCACTCATTAAAACTGGTAATTCATATTAGCGTTAACATGACAGTCCGTCTTCCATTAGGATTGATTTGCCAACATAATCAAGTTATCTTATTAGTTTAGTTTTATATGTTTTAACGCTCTGCTGCTGACCGACATTCAATTGCTGCTTTGCAAACCAACATGTAACTAGTTCAACCTAAATATCGTTTGATCTGATCGAGCAACCAACCATCAATGTTAGTGATCAGTGCCGCGCAGATCGACAGGGTCTCTCCCACTGGCCTTTAGCCATGGTAACTATGATTAAAGAGCATCACTAAGATTGCTAACATTAATGTTTACTTTGAAAAAATTGCAGCCAGTTTTCGCTCCCATTGCCCCGGCTGTTGCCCCACAACGTTACCGTAGAGAAAAACACCAAAACACACCGTGAAGCATTGTACCAGTGTCATTATTACATTAACTGCACGCATTTATAACCACGCATTGACATTTTTAACGTTGCAGAGGCGATAAAAGAATAGGGGCTGGGTTTTTTTTTTTTTTTTTTTTGAAAAACGACAGGACGCAGATAGCCAAACATGCTAATAATAACAGCTAGAACAGGCTAGGTTAGTTAGCATGCTACGACAACTGGCAAAACCACTTTGTGTACTCTTCCCTGCGTTTGTCGCCTAAGACTACATCAAACCGACGTCTATCACTTGTCATTTTAACCACTGATGCAATGTGAGCCGGCAAAACAAAATCCAGCAGCGAGGAGAGGTCAGACGAGCAAAAAGAGAGGCCGACACGGGACAAAAATCAAGCAAAACAAAGCGCGGCCTGAATGCTAGCCACACACACAAAAGCCTCGGTGTTTCCTGACCGCACAGCGACCCGTTGAGACTGCTGTTAGCGCGCCACTGTTTCAACACAAAAAAACAACATTGCACCCGTGTAGACAATGCATATTGACATTAGCAGTGCACAAACGCGTCCCATCGTGTTAGTGAACAGAGCTCAACCCCCCCTAACTCTAGCTGTTTGACAACCCTTTCAGCTCACCCTAGCTCGGCTAACCCACCTCTTTCCTGATGGTTCCTCTCCGGCTGCACCGGGCGCGGCCTCGAGACTCGCCTGGGTCTTCTGCTAACGTTGCTTGCTCTGACGGAGTTCATTTGGGGTGTTGTTAATCTTGAGGAAATGTCGAAGCCTTCACAGCAGAAGCGGCGACTCGTAGCACATCGTCTATGTCTTTTTCTTCAGCGTTGCACGATCTGCCATCTTCTTCTTCTTTTTTCTTTTTTTTTTTTTTTTTCGTGGCTCCTGAAGAACGTATCGCTGTGTGTTATTCCCGTTCCCCTGCACTGGTGTTACGTCTTGCCCCGTTCTGCTGAAGCAGGAGGAGCCATAACACACAGGCACGGTCCGTCGGGCCTCAGTCACATCACATGGGAGGATCTCTCGCCGTCACGTCGCCTTTCCCCGTTCACGGCGGTCTACTCAACGGCGTTTACTTTTCGAGCATCCATCATCGGAGTTGGGGGGAGAGAGAGACTCTGTTGTTTCTCCCTGCAGTAGTTTTATATTTACATTTGAGTGCAGAGCCTTATAGGTGGAGGTAGGTGTCTTGCTCAAGGGCACATTGACAGTCCTCTCTGTAGAGGAAGGAAAACAATTGCAATTTGTTCCAGTTTATCCTTTTAATCTAATAGAGTGCCATCAGTTTATTATTGTAACATCCAAATACCCAATAACACACAGCATATTTTGTAAAGATAAATGATTTTGGACTGTTTTTTTTATATATTATTATATCTTATAACAGAATGTAGCCTTGTTCTTACTAAACAATGGATGTTAAACTTTTCCTGGAACCTTAATTTCATAATTTGTGTCTCATAATCTGCTAAACAAATAAATTGTGATTAGGGATTGACCTGTGGTTAGAAAAGCTGTTTTGGGCAGTAAGTAGGAAACTATACTAGCCTGCTGAAAATAGCTCGAACTCTGAGAAGAGGCAAGTAAGAAGATAATTCCTCCACAGGGATCAATGAAGCATCTCATGATTATTACTGTGCAGACTTTGTGTGAGGAGTTTAAGAGAGAGCTTAGTTACAAAGCAAAGCTCTCACTCACATTCTTTAACAAGAGCCTGACCTGGACCATGGGCAGAACATCAAGTGTCACTCTTCATTTTACACACACTCATAATGTTGTCCATATTATGACAGGGTAGAATCCATTAATACACCTGGACTGACTAATCACCAGCTTAGATAACCACACTTACCATGTCCTTCATAAGCTCCAGCTTGGGGGACATTTTGAAGGCATTTCATTGAAAATAATTAAAGTTAACCGTGTGAAACAGCACAATGTAACAATAATGTACATTCTGCAGAGTGTGTTGCTCGCTAAATGAAGTAGAAGACTTGATCAACACTCACTTTTCAGTGGATTTAACTGCTGGATGCTTAAAAAATGTGTCTCGTGAGGACTGAGTACTCAAAATTATTGTCACTTTCTCTACTATTAAAATAGTATCAAGTACAACAGGAGAAACCTCACTAGTCTCAAAAGTCAGCGATCCACAAAATCCCATACACCTGTTTTTACTGTTTTTTAAATGAATCTGACTCAAATGGATTGTAAAGACTGTAAATAAGATATAAGAAATAGTAATACAGCCACAAGAACCAAACCTTTGCAGCTCATTATTTTAGAACTTTTTAAATGCTTCTAAGTGTTCAAATTTGCAGGTGAAATGGAGCTTGACATATTGTGATTAGAAAATCTGGTATTTTGTCTGATGGTGGTGCTATTTAGCATGATCCAATGAGCTCAGTGAAAGGTTTGCCATGTATCTGAGTCCGGTCCAAACACCACACACAGTGTATGAGAAAATCCTTATTTTATTTAAACCTGTGCTTTTCCTAGTGTGACATGTCAAAATTCCCTTCTGAGATAAAAGTATTTTAGGTTGACAAGGAAATAAGAAGGGATGGAAAATACTAATTATATATCATATTCCAGAATATGGAGTTTCATTTTTAATTAATTAATTAATTTTGCTCATAAGTTTGGGTATATTGTTAATTTCCTCAGTTTAATAAATAAACACTTACTTATTTTGTCACTTACTTTCTTGCACACTAGCCTGGTTGTCCACTAGATGTCTCCTAATCTCTTCCTCTGAGTATTCATTGCACGCTGTGTGTAAGATGAGCATCACATGATACTTTACCTCTGTGGTCTGTCTCTTTTTGTCTCTATTGTCTAAATGATGCTTCACCTTGTTTTGTTCCCCCCATACATCCTGAGCAGTCCCTCCCGGTAGTCACTGTAAAACTATATTTTCTCTCCAGACCCCTTGTCCCCAGGATGCTTCCATGACAACCGTGTTGTTTGTCATACTAATTGTGTCAAATTGTCAAATGCACTGAAGAATGACTTCCTCTCTGATAGACTGAAATCTCATTGTTTTTAGACTGCTTAACATTATGATTATGTAAATATTTGCTTGTGGGATATCAATGTGTCTGTGGTGACAACATGGTAATTAATTAGCATATTTTTTGGCTGGTCTAAATGAACACTGCTCCAATGACTAATTAACTACCTACAGCAAATGAGTCACACCTAGCTGCAAAACTACCCTGCAACTGCCTATAGGTGGCAGCGTCCTCATAACTGATGCACAGTTCTGAGTTTTCAGGTTTTGTAGTGTTTATATTTTCTGATTATGGATCAGTTTGCTTTCATAATGTTTTGTTCTGTGCCTGCAATCAACCCCACGCTTATCAGCAGGACCATCTGTGATTTGTTGCTCCGTGGTCATTTACCCATCTGTGAGCTGATCTGTCTGTCTGATGGGGTTAATGGTGATTGACCTCATGAAAGGAGTCAACTGAGAGTCTTGTGTCGGACATTGTATTGTACAAAACACTTTGCCAACATCAGTGGCTGTTATTCCATGAGATGAAAGAGTACTTATAGTTTTCGTCTGCTGTCTTTTGTTGTTAAATCTGCAGTTCTGCGGTTAGTTATCAATGATTTAATAAAGTTGATCCACTTTTTTCTGAATGGACTTCAGTCAGCAGGTTTGTAAATTGCCCTTGTGTTCATGATGCACTAGCTATTTGTCCACTGATGATGAAATGGTTGGAACAAACATTTTTCTTACAAAATCTCCATTCAGGTATGTCTTTTTACTTCCATTTTTCCATACTGAATCACTAGTCCTCTTTAAAAAATATACTGAAACATATTACTTTAGTTAAGCCTGGAACACGGAGAGCTTAACTGTCAAGATATCTGTTGTTTTCGACACTAATCTGTTGGAGATATGACAGTGAGGCACATGTGTTGGCTTGGTAACCAATCTAGTATCCAGTGGCAACAGAGGTCTATTGAATGCTGGGTGGCTCTGTATTGGCTGGTGTGCCCACCACTCTCTTGTGTCACCAAGTCACAGAGACACATCCATATAGCAGCTCTGAGTAATGGTATGGTTGTGTAATATTCAGCTCAGGAGTCAAAAATGTGTATGTGTGTGACTGGGGAGGGGTCACGCTAACACTGATATTACAAATGCTCTTTGTGTTGAACAACTTAATGTACTGACCTGCAGGTGGTAGCACTGTTTGTCTGGGTCACTTTCTCTGTCTCTCTATCAGCTGCATACACAGTCTACCTTTAAGACCTTACTTTAAAAAAAAAAAACCTCCCTGCTTTACATTATGTTCTCTCTCACATAAAAACTTTAAGGATATTTAACATATTTAAGGATTGCCTCTGTTCTTGGTCATCATTGAGTCCTATCCATGTCTGAAGGCATCCACTGGAGCAGAGGCAGACACAACAGGATAAGCGTCTTTGTCTCAGACTCCTGTCTGTCAGAGACACCCCCCTCCCAGCCTTTCCTCTATTTGGGCGGCTGTTACAGAGAGGGCAGATGGCTCATTACCATAAATAGGACAGAGAGAGAGTGAGTGAGGGGGCCGTGCACACCGACCAACAGGACCATGCCGCCCAAAACCAAGGAAATGGGAGGCCGTTGCTAGGAGAGAGGAAAGACAGCTTTATGGCAACACAAAGCTGATTCCCCCATCCGACCTCATCTCGCTCCCGCCCCCTCGTTCCCTGCTCTGGGGACCGAGCCTTGAATCTGCTGGTCGGGGACAGATGGTCGATGGGCCCCACCGTCTCTACAGCTGGACACAGGCTACGCTGACACAGTCAGACCTGGCAGGACTGAATCACACCTTATCCTGTCCAACCTATGAGGAACAAGAGCAGAAAGTACTGAAGCCCAGGCCACCAGCTAAGAATAGATCCACACTTGTTGCCCACAGGAAATGTGTGGCTGCTCAGTAGATGATAAAATGTTAAGAGTTTGTCTTTGTAGTACTGTAATGCTCTCTCTAGGATGAAAATCATTCACCAGGAATAATCACAGGTTGTTACTTGCTTCTGTATTGCTGTTATTTAGTTTCTAAACAATTAATGGCAAATGTTTGGTCACTGCTTGTATTGGGAAGTTCTAACCTGATACACCTACCCACACACACACAATCTGACAACATGACTCTGACGTAAATAGAGTGGGGTTTTTTTCAGCCACACCTCTGTTATTTTTAATCTCTCTCTATTTTCCTAATCTCAGCATCCCCATTTGAGTCATTGCCCTTGTTTTTAATGACTGCCATGTTTGTTAAATGTATCTGTCCACATGCAAATATAACAAGTGCACCAAAATAGGGGAGCGTGGGGTGAGGTGAGGCACTTGGAAAGTACATCAGTCAAGACACCACCACTGAAACAATAGCACATCTGCTCTCACTAGACCTCTGGCTGAAAGGGCAAGAGCAGCCAACTGTCTCACAGACAGGAAGGAGAGGAAATCAATTGAGAAATGAAAGAGTTTAATTTAAATCAATAAAAAAGTTAAATAAATCATATAAATGCATCAATGTGGTTATTATTGAATGCTTGTTGAATGTTTGATTTGAGATTACACATCAAAATTTGTTTAATTTCTTCTTGTCATTTGCTACAATAATTAATATTGGTTGATTAGGCTTGGGACATTTTGCATAGTGTCCTTGGGGAATTGAGGCAGGGTGTTTGACAGCATCACATGTATGTGTTGGGAGGGAAGAAGGATGAGAAAGGAGGGAGAAAAGGACAACTAAGCAGAACGAGGGGAAAGAAAGCATGACAAGTAAGCAGAATAGAGGCGGTCCTGCATCACCTAGCCATCCGCCCTGGTTGCATAGGAACACGAGGGCCATGCCTACCCTGCAGACACACTCCTTTCCTCTCTCCTCTGCCACGCTTCATTACCCAGTGCTCAGCCAGGCACAGAGAGGCAATGCACCACTTTCTCCACACTACAGCCGTGTGCCCGCTCACAGCCTCACAGCACGCTCCCCTCAGACCAAGGCAGGGTATACACTGCCCCTCAGGCATCGGGTCACACTCACTTTATATGCATGGTGCAGAGACGACACTGGGAGGTCTGTACTGGTATCATACTAAGCAGTGGTTCCCAACATTTTCTGACCCTTTTTGTAGCACCCAGATGCCATCCTTCTTAGATGAACTCAAGTACCCCTTCACTGACACCACCTGCTTAATTCATTTTAACCTGGATATTATATAAATAATTTAAACATGGATATAATAGAGAATGTTACAGTATATGTTTTTATACAGTCAGTTCAGTTTGGTTGTGTTTAGGTCTACTGCCAGAACAAGGGAATGGCAGATGCTATACATTTCAACCATTTATCTATATCATAGTTACTTTTAACTTTAAACTATTACAATCTTTTATCCATTACTTTTAGCAAACCATTTAAATAGTTTATCCATTATGTTTAACAATTTCAGTCTTTTATTCATTACTTTTAGCTTTCTACTTCAAATGAAAATCAATTGCTTTAAGCTGACTATTAGCTTCTAGCAAACTAAACTGCTCCTATATTTCACATTTGCACATTGTTCAGGTGTTACAGTTGACTCGATATGTGGATATATATTTTATTTGATCAGTTAAGATCATACTTCACAACCTCTCAACTGCAACAGTACCCCCTTGGGTACATATACACCTGGTTGGGAATCAGTGATACAGCTGTACCTGACAGATTGTGAATTTATGAGTGCACATTTATCCGAGTACGATCATTTAGAGCTGCATGTACAATTTCATGTAATTGTGTATAATTCACATTAGCAAACAGCAGGCAGACTGATTATTGTGGTGTATATACATGAGAAAATGCACACTTATTCACACTGCTGGAAGATGATTAGCAATTCCTCATATGTGTCATAGCCCACTATGGAGCTGGTAGTGCCAGACAACACTGTTGGGCACAAGACCACTATTGTCCACAAGATAAAGTGAGCTTGTGACCAAGGCAAGGCGGGGAGGACCAGATGCTGTGAAAAGATAAGGGAGTGTCAAAGAACAAAGCTTTTGGTGTTGTGTTGTTGTTTACAGTGAAGTCACCAGTCGAATGTTACTCCAGACGTCACGACTTCATGGAGCTGACGGAGCTTTGTAAACTCCAGGTACATGTCAGAGTGGGCCGTCTCTCCTTTATCCTCCTCTCGCATCACAGTTAATTGACTACAAGTGTTCATTTGCCTGCAAGAAGAAGTCATTAGGGTGAATAACAAAATGTAGCTTGGCAATGGAACTGCCAGGGATCAATGGGTTAATTCAATGAGCCTCTGCATGTGGTGTATTGTATAGCAGGGCCATTTGAAGGCCTTTATGTGGGAGTCATGCAGTTTTAGTGTACTTAAAAGTGCAAAGAGATAGCATGGATGCTGGTCAATAAAGAGCACTGGAGGCAATGAAATAAAACAGACCAAAGTTCAGCCCTGTGTGTTTGGTGACAACTAAACAGTCAGGTAAATACAGATGGCTCAAAAGGCAGTCTGTCTTTCATTTGTTATAGTTACATTTGGGAAAGAGCTGTCATGCAGTGTAATGACTTACAAATTAATGATCGTCTGCTTAAAACTAATGCTTGATGGATAACTCAAACAGACGAATGTAACCTGTTATTTTAGCCTTAACAATGTGATTCAATCTACAATATTCTCATAACACCAGCAACTGCTATTATCAACCACTGCCTAAACAACAACAACATTAGTTCTTCCAAAAGTATCTAAAATTGCTTACTTCTCATCACATATGGAGTGGGCACAGCTAAGATCTAAACCATCTGTAAGAGGAAGCAGCAAACTAGGATAACAGTCGAAAAAAACTCTCAATATAATAATGATGGCCCAACAGATCTGAATCCTAAAATCCAGCCAACTACAACGTAATGTGTGCTGACAGTCAATGGTGACCTGCCCTACTTTCCCCCAACCAACTTTCCACAATCTTAAAAATCAGAGTCTTAACCACTCTATGTAATACATGGTGTTTTTTCGGCTTTATCTGTCTTTATTGTGAGGCCTTTTTTTAAGGACTGTAACCCTGTGTCCAGATCAGTGCATCCATTGTAGGTAATCGATTACTCCCCTGCCCATTTATAATGTATGTTTATCAAGTCTTGTGGGTGTGGTGCAGGCTCTGAGCAAGAGTGACCCTCTCAGACAAGTAGGGTTTTGTAGTTATGTACATAAATTGAGGGGGTGGGGGTGGGGGGGGCAGGCAGTGTCACATCTTGCTATGGAGGCAATCATTTGTTGCCTGTTTTGGCGCTTTGAAATGATTGGAACCAGTCAATGTGAGTCTTGTCTTCATTAGGTTACAAGTACACAGTTATTTACCTCTTTGTGTGCTGAGCGCTTATTAATAAAATGGACATGTAAAAACAGGAAGAAAATCATTTTACTAAGCAGCTAGTGTCTCATTTAACAGTTGAGTTCTTTTTAATTAAGCCCTCGTAAAATTTAAATTACTGTCCTTAGTTCATGCTGGCATGCGTAATCCTCCACTGGAGCAAATTGACACTTGGGCTTGTTTAGACAAGCGTTTGCTCACTCTAACCTGGACAAATAGACTGAATCAATACAGAATTACAGGATATTTGTTTGACTGTTGAAAAAATCATTCCTCTGCCGTACATGTTGAGCATTTTATTGCCTGTGCATTAAAGGAGGCACTTATCAGCTGACAGATAACAGACAATCAGTACACTGCTGACATAATTCATAAGACCCGGTTAGCAGAAAGGATTGTCAAACAAAGGCTTCTGTAGGCAAACACACTCTTCAGTTGAGGATAACTGCAGGCAAAAGCTGGGAGAACCTCTAGGGAAAACAAAACCTGGAGAACAAAGAAAGTGTTGCATTTGAAAGAAGTTGACCACGCCTGGTTGCTCTGCTGACAGTTAGAGGGCGCGTTCAAGAAACACTGGCGCTATTTTTTGACTGCAAAGACATACATTTTGTATTTAGAAATACTTAAAGATAAAAAGAATAAGCTGTCTGCGGGACTTGTGTTGTGCTCTCTCCTTAAACAACGGTGGGTTGCTCCATCTAGAGCAATTATGTCTGGACTTCTAGTGCATGTCTGTGCACAGCAGGTGGCCTCTGGCAGCTTCACAGACAGTTGAGTTTGCCTTCACATCCTGGGGAGAATGCAAATACTACCTGTACAACCAGTAACCAATCTGACCACGTTTATCTAGGAAAATGAAATGCCATAGAGTCTCAGTTCATGTGTGTGCACATGCATCTGCGTGTGTGTCTGCACTCTTTAATCTACGTCACAATTCTCTCGATGACTCTTCCACTTCGCATTTCAAAGGAGGTTCAAACTAATTAGCTCAGGGTGCCGGTTGTCTGTTGGTCTCTCTCCCATAACAACTGCAGGTGATTATTCCAGCATCTAAATCCTCTAAAAGGACCAGGACGGTGACTTTATATACTAGACTTTATAATGCCGTCACCTGTCCAAGGTACATAAAGTGGAACTAACCAGAGAAAATAATGGTGTGCCACAATGTGCATGCCGGTAGATACTGGGTAACATCGTAGTGCCTTATGCCAAAATTCATTTTTCTTGTCATTACACAACAGCATGTATTGTTCTAAATGTGTGTGTGAGGGCAGAGATAGAGGGGCCTTCTAACAAAATGCTACATGTATCATTTAGTGTATGTGTGTGTGTGACAGAGAGAAAGAGGGGAAAAACCAATAAATCTAGAGTATATCTTTAATGGGGAGTTTCTTCTGGAATGTGTTTTTATCTTTTACAGTTTTCACCTCTTTTACTTTGCTGTGTTTCCACTCCAGAAACCATAGCTATAGGTGTAGGGAGAGAAAAAAAAAAAACGTAGAGAGAACAACAAAGGCAAGAGGACAGATTGAATGAAGAGCAGCATACAAACAAGGGTTGTCACTAATAGAGAGTTTTATGAGCTCCAGACCTGCTGAAATGGAGTGCCGTGCGCGTGCAGCAGCTCTTATCGGCTCGCTGGCAGCAGGGGAGGGTGAGAGCTTCCACACTTGCGCTCCGTAAAAATGGTCTGATTCATTTTCCACATGAGAGGGTCTCACTGGGGCGGCATCAGACCAGCCAGTCCACACAGATTTATGGACCATTAAAGCAGCAGGCCTCCTGACCGCTATGCCACCATAGGCTGGCTGCTAACACACGCTGCACCCTCATTCATGCTCGGTCACTTCTCTCCATCACAGGCTAGCTTCCTCATTGTTCATCCCTTCATCAGTACCACTTTTACTGCCTTACATGAACTCCTCTCATAGTCTGTAATCCTGCTATCCTTCACCTCGCTCCCTTTGATACAAAGTGAGCTGTTTACTGTAATTATTCTCACCCATTGTTAAGTTAACGCAGTTCTAACAAAGACTTTTTTGTTATTCTTACATGTCACAAAAAGGATCATTCCTAAAGTGCCTCATCAGCAGCCTGGGCGGACAGTATGTTATACGGCCCAGGAAATGCTCCAATACCGTTATGAACATCTCTGATGCTGGTCAGTGGGGCATGTTGTTTTAGCCTAACAGTTTTACAATCAGATTAGCACCATTGCAGGCACACAGACTAATGGGTCTGTCCTTTCAAGGCATCCTCAATCAACTGTTTCCTGGTGATTAATGCATCTTGTTCTCCTCTCTCTCTCATTTGCTAGCGTTGCAACTTCATCATCCCTAGGAGTGATACTGGAAGGAAAAATGGGGCAGAGACTATGCTGCATGCTGGCCCTAAGAATAGCTCAGTGTGCAAGAAAATCATGCCACAGCAACCTGAGCAAAGGCTCAAAAATATGAATGAACAAATGAATGAATATGATGGTATCCGGAGTGCACTTCCACCACTGATTAATCACTTCACACGCTTTTTGTTGGATAAATGACAACATTAACGTAAATTAAATGTGCTTCTATTCACAATTAACCTGAACAAACTGACACAAGATGAATGAGGAACTGACTAAAGCAGCCAAATCTTAATGACAACTATCACCGCACAGATCAAGCAGAAAACATTCCAGTATCAGTCAGGTATTCGCGCTGACATGAAGCTGCCATTACACCACTGCAAAAGCCTGTTTGTCCAGTTGACAGAAAAGGGAAAAACAAAGGTGTGCATCAACACTGGCGCAGAAGTATTTACAGCACTGCCTCATGGTAGGTATTTGAGTTTATACACAGTAAGAGCAAATAGAGGCTGTTAGATCAGTCCACAGAGAGCTACTCGTGTACGCTTATGAAATGGAGTGGCTGAGATGAGTAAGGTATCACCATTATGTGAAAGTTGCAGTTTGGTGTGAAGTCAGGTGGTCAGTAGAGCTCAACAGATAAACCGACCCACTGGTTCTTCCTGTAGCACTTTTGGCTGGAAAAGCACATCTGTACAGTCATGTGAATAACATGTTTTACTTTTTCCACACATGCACAGAGAATGAGTTTAATCTGCAACTGGAAAAAGTAGGTTACATCATTGTGCTTTTTTTCCTTCCCATTTTCTTTTCTTAGCTTTGTCTGAGTGCTTAAGCATCACCCCAGCATGTGTCTGTTGTGTGTATACAGGTCACGTTAGCTCCTTGTATCATCGTTTACTCTAGGAGGGGCCCTGTTGAGGGTCCACTATCGTCACGAGGCTGGGTGTGGTGACACATCCTTTCTCTCCGCCCCGAGGTGTTTGTGTAGCCTGAATAACGCGGGAGTGTTTTGTGTGGACCCGTCCGGCTCGATCACTCACACGCTTTAATGAAATTCATAATACAACCTAACTATCAATAATACTTTATTAGCCAATAAACCCTCTTAAAACACTACTTCCCTCCCTTCATCTGTGTTACGTTACAAGCAGCTGGCGATAAAAGTGAAAGCACTTTTTTTTTTTTTTTTTTTTTTTTTGCACGATGCAAAATAGGATGGCGTGCGCGTTCGCGGAGCTCCGGCGCTGCGGCAGTTGCCAGGGGAGATAGGAGGGGAGGGGTTTTGATTGGCTGAAGTGGGCCTGTTGCCATGACGACGGCAAGGGGTTTGGTAGCGTTGCCGTGCGCTGTGTGATCTGCGCGCTGCGTGTATGGAGGAAGCAGCTGCTGATCTGATCTCTGACATTGTGTGAGACAGACATCTGAATAAAACTGCGCACAGACGTGTCTTTAAACATACCGCACCGAGGCACGCCGTGCATGATTGTGAGTATTTGATCGTGTTTTTTTAATTTACCGTGGTTTGAACTGTGTTCGGCGGCGTGTACGGGTTGTGTTACGAACAAGCTAAAAGTAAATGTGGTCAAGTGACTTTGCTTAGAGCAGCCAGCATGGCACAATCAAGCGACAGCATGTGGCCAAGCTAGCTGCTGTTAAACGTTATATACTTCCCTCTGTCCGCCGGGCTCGAAGCTTGAAGAGTAGAGGAGGGGTATTTATAGCACCGACGAGTGGTTATCGTTTGATACCCGAAACTACAATTACCATAATATTGTACCACAGTTAAAATGTGATGCTAACGCTAGCAGTAGATGTACCTCCACTGGCCCATCGAGCCACTGCTAACGCTGCTATGTCTCTCGGTTTGTGCTGTGTGAGCTAACGCTGGTAACGTTACAGCTTGGTGGGGGTGAGTGAGTGGGAGGGTGGGGTGGTGGGGGGGTAGGGGGGGGGACTTACTCTAATTAAAGCTTTAAAAACAAATGTAATAATTGACTAACCGGGGCTAAGTTACTCCGTAACGAGTCCCGGTGTGTCGGGAAGTGTTGTGCAATAGTCCACGTCATTACGTGTAACTTTGTATTCCTCATTGTGTGTCTGCTTGTGGCTGCTTGTGAGCGTCCGCGGTGATTAAATGCCTCAGTATTTGTAGCGTTTGCTTCAAAACATGTTAGTTTTCTTTTGCCAGCAGCACTTTCAGTGTATCTCCTCCTCCCCCCCCTTCCCTCCACTTGGCTTCAGACTCGCTGTTTTGATTAAATGTTGTTTAAAATCGCATGGTTTCTCAGGATGTAGTAGACAGCGATGTGAAACACGTTTGTTTTTTTTTTGTTTGTTTTTTGTTTGGTCGGTGTTAATTCAAGGTCTCCCTTTTTATTTCTCTAAATACTTGAATATTTTATGGTATATGTCGACGGTACCAGGGGTTGGGAGGCTGCACGGACTAGCTAAGCACATGATGTAATGGATTATCACAAGATTGTCCCAGATATAGAGTGCACTACAAACAATGTCAGAGTGTAGGGGAAAATATCTCTGTTTAATCCAGTTGGATATACTTTATATGTTGTTACCGAATAGGTCTTTATATACTTATTCCACGTGTGTGCTCTTAGTGTCTCTACCTGCTACCTGACAGTGTTGCATTCACTTTAAATGGACAAACCTCATTTAAAATTAATTGTGTGCTCTGAGGTTTATGTGTGGATTTTGAGAGAAAAAAAAAAAAGATGGAAAATCCTTTTTGTGAGGTTATGACATTAATGTAGACTGACGTTGCTTTCTTCTTGCTTGACAGTTGTTAAAGCCCCAGTGATAAACAGAAGACAAAGGCAACAGGAGCTTAAAGGGACAGAAAAAGACAAAAAAAAAAAAAAAAGAACAGATGTTGTCAATTGCCAACTGCCATTACTTTATTGCCAGACTCTCCATGGTCATGTTGTAGGTCAAACCATCTGTTGTCTTTTGCTGTTGTTTGTGGTTGTAGCATGTTTCCACTCCTGTACATGTTTGTATGTACAGAAGCCCCCTGAAGGGTAAGTACTTTTGCCTCCCAGAATAGACGAGGGTCTGCTAAACTTTACTGACATTCATTACTATAAATAAGACTTGTCGTAACCCAGTGATGCAGTTATTGCGGGCGTGAAATTACTTTAATAACTACGGCGATCTAAAATGTTGCCGGTGGAGTTGAATTATCCTAAGTTGTGGACCATCATGAAGTGCTAGAATAGGCCTCTAATACCGTTGTCGTTACCGTCTGTAGTTTTTTTCCTCATATTTCAGTGTATTTAGTTGAGTCAGATCTCTCTACTGATTTATAACTTGAAACTGAAACGTACAACCAGTTTAAGTGACAATTGATATATGAGTCATATAATTACTCAGTATTTTCGTCATAATCCTGACGGTAAACCCTGGCGTGTGTGACAAAAAAACAACATTTTACACATCTGTCACATACTTAAATGTACTTCTCCATGTGGTATCAAATATATCTCAAGCTGCTCCAGAACTCTCAAGAATGCCACACTTCATTTTTTTATTACTTTGCAGTCACATTGGTTTCACTTTTCTGAGAAGTTGCTCCATTGTGCTGTACTACTGATGACAGAACAGGAAGATGTTCCCCAGAGGATGTATGATAACAATGCAGCAACTTGACAAAGGAGACCCCCACAGAACATTTTCATCAAGTGAATTTTTGCTGTACAATCTTCAATCCAATAGAGCTTTGTTGTCCTGTTCAGTCGTCACATAATCCTCAATATAATGTATAAAACGTCTTATTGAGGAGATGACAGGGATCGTAGCTTGAAGCTGTTACCCCTATCTTGGCAAGAGAGGCAGAGAATCTGCACTTTGAAATGGTGGCACTGCAATGTAATCAGCCTTATCACAGAGTTGTGTACTCTGACCCAGAGTAAATTAAAGGTTGCGTCCTCTAAAACGCACCGTGTTCTGTGTAGGTATGAGTGACTGTGGTTTCAAATTTATTACGAAAGCTGACCCATGTGGCAGAAACCTGTGGGATTGCTTAACACAACCTGCTTTCTCATGGATTGGCTAAACAGAAAAGCTCAAAGCTGTATAACCGACTGTTCTCTGCAAACCCTAATTACCAAGTCATTTGAGACTTACTGTTTTAAATAGTTGGATTGAGGTATCATTATCGTTGTAATGGAGGAGGTTGAATAATAATTAGATGATTGGCAGAATGAGGAAGTTGACGTCTCCGTTCACTTTCCATAATTATGTTGTTGTGTGCATATCGCAGTGTTTTTAAAACATTCAAAGTGGAAAATGAAAATACGTACAGCAGTGTGTGTTGTAAAGGAAGTGAAAGTAGGTGAGCCTTTAAGTGTACCTAAGTAGTGTAATTTTCTTTTATTATAAGCCAAAAGAAAGCCTTTATAGTGTTTTATAAAGAATGTGTCGCTCTCCTTCTACCTCCCATCATGAGGGCCTCAGTTGTTAAATTGAGCAATCGCATATGTAGCTGAGTTCAGTTACTAATCAGTGAGCTCCAGCTCTAACTGCTGGCATTGACCTATCTGGCTTGTGGATTTGAGTGCTTCATGAAGTTTTCTTGTGGTTTCTTTGCTGAGTGATTGAAACTGCACGTTTCATCACCTGCCCACACCCCCCCGTGTGTTTTTTAAAGGAGGGATATCCCCAGGAGTTTGTAGTCTTCTCTTGTCTCCGGCCTGTGACATTCTGCTCATCAAACATAGGCGGTAGCTCTAAATTTGAGATGTAAATGTAAATGCCTGTAGAGGCATGTTTACACCCATGTCGTGCCTCCTTCGTTTAATTCCTCTGGTCATGATTTTCTTTTCCTGTCCTGTTCAGATGATCAGCTTGTCTGTTTTTTTGTGATGTTTTACATCATATAGCATCTCCTGAGAGATCAGGGTGAAGCTAAATGGCACCTATTTTTATCCTCTAAGCTTTCTGCTTACAGCTGTCATTATTTCACAAACTGGGGTCAACCTATTGAAGGTAATGTCATGACATCAACAAAATGACAGAACAAGTTGAGATCTGGTTCTGCAAATCTAAAAGTACATAGTTTGAATGGGAATGTTCTGAGTTTGTACATCAGTTTTTCCTCCATACGCCTGCCTCTGAGCATGTGTTTTTACAGAAGTTGCATACGGGCAATGTGTGTATTCCTGTTGTGGCGCCCCTCTGTCTACTCCAGTTATTGTTTTACATCTCTTGATTGGTCACAGTGGTTATGCACTAACTCTATAGTGAGCACCCCCCCCCTTTTCTCTCCCCTGCCCCTCTCTAACCGCCTAACTGTCCACTGTGCGTGTCTCATTCCTGACGGGGTGGACTGAAGACGCAGTCCATTAGGGCCTGCCTCCTTGAAAGCAACACTGATGCGACCGTTTCCTTGATTGAGAGAAAGGAAGAGGGAAGCACAGCTGTGTCCTGTGTCACAATGGGTCTTTGTCTCGTCACCTCTGGTTGAATTAACAGGATTTATTTAATTGAAGAGAACGACGACACAGGGGTTGACCAGCTTGTTTGCAGAAGATGAGGATCGTCTAGCATGTTTGGGGTTGAATGGGGAATTGTCCCGTCAGTTTACCAGTGTTTTGCCAACTCAAGTGCCACAGAACTTAAACAGTTTAGTGTTCACTTGTGAAATAATGTTGTTAGAGCAGCACGGGCCAAGGGCTGGTTAGGTGTTTGGCCAAAGTCAAATATAAACATACAACTGATGCATCATATGCTGTTATTTAAATGAGAGTTTTATACTGGGCTCTCTGTACTTGACACATCTGAATCCATGAATAAGTACGAAGCTCAGTTTACTAGAGCATGTCTAGAGCATTGCTATTTTTAAAAGTCTGGCATTGTCATCAGATCACCATGGTGATTTATTGAAGAAAAAAAAAAAAAAAAAAGTTTGTTGAACAATCTTAGGTAAGCTTAATTTGAGCAGAAGATGCAACAGAGGCCATGCTTGTGTGTGGCACCAAAACATGTGTATGCATAGTTTATAATAGGTAAACTTAATGAAGAAGAGCACTGAGCTAATCTTTATGTTATATTACTGCTACTTACTCCATGATCATCTTTTGCTGTGTATGCACTTTGTTGATTTACTGACTTCAGAAGCTTCAGTAAATATTCTCATTCTTTGAAAGCAAGGTACTTTCAGCTGTCTTCATGCTGTTTTCTCTGGGTGTTTACGGAAGCCCTGGGTCTTTCCACTGTATCCGACATGGATACCCAATGAAGAATTCCTTGAGAGTTTGCCATGATTCAGGAATAGGGGCTTTTTCTCACTTGATTTTCCTGCAGGGCATTACTGGTGGCATCAGTGTTTCTTGTACACAAAAGTTATTTGCAAACACTACTAGTATTTACATGGAACATAATCTCATACAGAGCACATTCCTGGAAGGGCTTATGTTGCAACTTTAACTGAGCAGTTAAAGGGACATTCATTGTTCCTCCAACTGTATAAAAAAACTTTATAAAAAATCTCCTTACAGTAATTTATTGCAAGGATTTGGACCCTAGTGTACAGGCGTAAAGCAAATGGTCTGGCGCTTAGTGCCGTGTTTGGTATTTAAAAGTATATGAAGTTGTTGCGTATGTTGATTGGCGCGGTGGTGAGTGTTTGTACACTGAACTCACAGCCACATGACCCAAGAGATAAGGTTTCAGTGTTGGCTGGGAGCTGGCATGTACTTTTACAGGCCTCACTTCAGTTGACAGTCGAAGTGCAGTACTGTGTGTTTTGCGTTTGAAATCACTATGTGAAGTTAAAAGTCTCTGAACATCACAATCATTATCTATTGTTTTGTTTGCTTGTTCTTTCCCCCGACTGTTAAGTGATTGCATCAGTCAATTCATTAGGTTCGGCTCGGGTGTTTGTCAGCAGTCTATAAGCTACATGCTGGTGGAATTCATAGATTGCCAAAGTAAATAGCTGCTGCTTCAGTAAACGCTACCTCTCGGCCTCTCGCTGCTCGAGTCCACTGTTTTGGTGTAGAGCGGTCCTAGCTGTCTCTGTGTGAAGTCGGAATTTGTTTTCTGAAAATGAACTTCCTCAACAGGCGGGAGGTGTTTCCTTCCCTCCCGGTACTCTGTTTGAAACTGTGAGGTGAATACTGAGCACTTCGGAAACATGACTAGAGCAAAAACAACTGCTCCTTTGTACGAGCCGAGTGTGGGGCCAATTGTAATGCTTTGTGCAAGCTTTTTCATTTGCTTTCACCTCGGGCACTGAGTAGATCGTTTTAATCCATTGAGTAGCTTTATTTGGAAATGTATCATTTAGACGTGCTTTAATAGTAGCCTGATTAGCCTTCACATTAATGGATGTTTTATTTGTTATGACATAATTTGACCCTCCCATAAAATAAAAGACTACCACTTGGCTACCTCGCTCTGGAACAGCCTCTCTCTCTCTCTCTCTCTCCCACTCTAACTCAGCCCCCCTTTGTCTCATTCACATTTTTAGAGCTCTAGCCAGACTGGGTAGTCGCCTAAATATCAGTTAGGGTTTCAAATAACAGCCTTCGCCATGGGGCTTTGCGACACACCTTTGTGTATCTGTTACAGAGGTGTAACTGGTTTGTGTCAACTGGTTTATTTCTTGTGAAAAGGGTGTGGCACAAGTAGATCTGTGTATGAACTGAAAGCAGAGTTTTTGTTCCGAATTCCTGTTCTGTTATTTACAGAATAATGATAGGTTGTATGTATTTTTATTTTTTTTTTAACTGGGGAAAAATAGCTTTTTGGTGCATACAATGGGTATTATAAAGTATGCCTTAATGGCACTCAGTCAGTAGTGCCATGACATCCAGGTTGGCTGTGGTCTTTCCCACTGCTCTTTGTCAGACAGGTTTGTGGAGAACAGCAGCAGACTGCTGGCCTCAGCATTTTCCGCCTGTATTGATCTCCCCACATTAGCTCTCTCTTCATGCACAGACATGAGCACAATTGCTTCCCTTACAACATTGGCTGCCGTGGCAACTGAGTCTTGATCGTGAGATTTTGCTCCCAGAAAACATCTCAAACCAGAACCTCTTCATTTTGATGCTCCTATCATCTCCTTTACATTCCCCCGTACATTTTTGACACATCAACGGCTTGATTTGCCACTTAAAGCTATCTCCATATGTCTTTGTGTATTTCTGAATAGGCTAAGTGCTTAACAGGATAAAAGAGCAGTTTGAAAGGGGGGAAAAATGTGCCTTGGCACCTGCTGTTAGTGCTTGCCTGTTTGCACATGAATATGATGAGGCTGGCGGTGCGCGGGGCTATTTTAACTTGCAGATGAGCCATCAGGTCAGCACCATTGCAGCTTTGGTGTATTTTCAAGGATGAGCTGCAGTCAACAGGCCAGTGCGGCTTATTAGCTCCCTCTCCCCTCTCCACTCTTTACACGCTAGTGTCCCATTATTCATCGCATTCCCGGCCGCCTCTCTTTGATGCCTTTTCATAAGAGCAATGATAACTGCGATCATTGCTACAGCACTGGTAATTGACCAGCTGCAGTCATGGTAAAACACTTCCTGTGTTTGGCTGGATGCAACGCAGCTTTCTCAGTCGTCCACCCTGTCTCTGTTGATATTCAAATGACGGTCTTCTGGAGGTGCTGCTCAAATGGGATAAGTGCTCCCAGTCACTCAAGGGCCCAGCTGAGAGGTCAGGGGCTGTGAAGATGGACTGAGGTGAAGCTCTCTTGGGCTTTAAGGTTAATCAGTGGTCTGACACTTTACCCGGGCCGTGACTTCCAGACTACCAGTGGAGTGTTTACATCTGACCCTGGCTCCAGAAAACACCTTGGCCACACCTTTTTAATCAAACAAAGACCCAATGCATTCAGGGCCTTTTTTTTACCACACCTGTGTTGGCTTGTGGTTTACTGTGACCTTAATGTTTGTCATCCGCATGCATTGGGTAGCGCCGTCATGGATCTAGACTTGACTGAAACTCCCAAAGAACAGCTTGGAGTCCTTTTCAGATGGCATCCTCACTCATCCTTTCTTCCTCTCTGCCATCAACAGAAGTACATACATGGGTTGCAAAAACCTGCCACTACTTGCACCTAAATGGATTTAATTTCAAAAGCATTTGATTTTTGGTTGTGCACGGGGCTAGCTTAATTCTGATTTGATTTAGGGATTCTTGGAAAGATTATTATAAAAATGATATTGTCCTCTGAAACTGCAGCCTTGTCTGTCTGCATAGTCCCTGATCTATTTGTAAATTCATTCAGAGTAGGAACCTGTCATGTCAAGGGATATCTTTTTGTATTTTGGTCTCTCGAGCAGAGATTTTCTTTTAACACAAATGGGCAGTTCTCTCGCTTCCTGACATATCTGATTGCTCTACTTTGCAGAGAGCTGTGATTCATCGTAGACGGTGGATAACTTGCACAGCCTACCTCACTACCACTGAGTGGCTCGCTCTCTCCTTCTTACTCTGTCCTTCCGTAAAAGGATTTTCCTATTGTTATGTCTCTTCCTATGTTCACTCTGTCTGGCCCTTTGCCTTTGGCCTGGAAAGCTCTGTGACTTACTTCCTTTTTTTGGTGATAAAAATCACAGAAGTATATTCGGTTCACAAAGAATTTTCAATGGTGCTGACAAATGAAAATGCAGACAATAGAGGATTGACAGGCAGAATGCAGGACAAAATGTCACTAATATGACATCACCTATACAGCAGACAGGATGTAATATTATGACAGAAACAGTATGAGTATCCTTTTTAAGGCTGAATAAATTACGACCTTAGATTTAGAAGTCACTCTAAACCAAAATAGGTTCAATGCGATATATCTTTATCCCCTCATTGAGAGTTGAGCGGTCATTTTAATGCCTCCTTCTTCCCCCTCCTGTTCTCTCTGACTGGCTTTGACAAACTGATTTGTGTGTGCGTGTGTGTGTGTGTATGTGTGTGTGTGTGTGTGTGTGTGTGTGTGTGTGTGTGTACACTCCCTCTCCTGTCTCACCCACTGTGCAAACACCCTCGAGTTTGACCCAATTCTTATCTTATCACAGAAATGAAAAGATATGCCTATCCACTACTCTCTCTGCACCGCTACCTCTCCAACCTCCCAATGCTACTCCCGTCTCGGTCTGGATCCAGAACATCCCAGACCACCCCGGACCTGGGCATCTGCTGTCCACCTACGGGTGCAGCAGGAGCATATTCGCTACAGGGCGGCTGCCCGTTGGTTGCCTGTGGCAGAACCAGCCGGCATGGATTACTTTTGTTTCTATTATTGTGTCTATATTTCTTGTTTCTGGGATATCTGCTCTTAATTGAAGGGACGGCAGGGTTGTCATGGTGACACCCAGGACATAAAGCTTGTTGTGAGCTGAGCCAAAGAGTGATCTCTTTGTGCTCTTGCCCTCACCAACCAGTGTGCAAGACTGTAGCTTGTATCTTAGTGTAGTGATTTTAAATGTTTGGACAAAATGTTATTTATTTTGATATTTATTTAGTTATTTTAGTGTGCCAAGACTTGGACACATCTTTTTCTGTGCCTGTAATTAAAATCACAAGTCAATACATTAGGTTCAACTGAAAACTTTGACAGGATCATGCACGGGATGACATGCCAGCAATCATTCCTCTGAACCCATGTAAGAAAAAAAGTATCATTGTTTTATTAAAAAGGGTACTTGGGTGGTTAATGATAGAGGGCTCCTGGAAATATTGAATTTCCTAGTACTGTTAAATGACAACTCCTAGGCCTGTAGCCTCTTTACACTACTTAATCTGGCATGTGACTGCAGATCAGTTTATAAGAGCCATCCACTCCGTAAGATGGAGACCTTCCACTCATTCCTGGTCTCATGCTCATTTACACATAACAAGCAGCTAGTTCTCATCTGAAACGAGGTGGGCGTCGAGGAGTGGAGCCTTAAGTCGGTTTAGTTTCTTGAGAGCACCTCCTCGAAGGTCCTCGGATGGAGTCAAGAGGGGGGGTAGAGAGAGCTGAGAGCTGAGAGCCTCTCCGTCCTTGCCAGGCGTGTAAGAGAGGGGCAGTGAGAGGGGCCAGGAAGTGCAGTAGAGGCAGACAGGCACTGCTACAGGAGGTGTGTCCCCTGGGAAAACTTAAGAAAACAAGGTCAACGCTTGGAAGAGCACATCATTCCATTATGTCGCATCCAGTTATTTCATGCTGCAAACTTTGTTTTGAAATCTACATATGCGTAAACTTTAACACCCTATTCTCTCCGCTCTCTCTCTCTCTCCAGACCTCTTTGATTTAATGGGTCCAATCATTGGGATGTCACCAGATAAGAAAACGGAAATTCCGGGTATGCAAGAGGAGCGGACAGGGCTCAGAGGTGTCTGTGGTGTGGGAACACTGCCTGAGGCGGAGTGTGCGTCCAGTCCGCTGGCGACCAGCGTGGATCGTACTGGAGGCACGGAGGATGAGGAGCTCACCAACCTCAACTGGCTCCACGAGAACCTGCTTCAGAACTTCACCCTGGGAGGTCCAGAAGCTCAGCCCAGCGGCAGTCCCCTCTTTGACATAGAGGGAGACTACGGGTCCAACCAGGGGCCGTCGTCCTCCTCGTCATCTTCGTCACATGGCAGAGGCAGGGAGCGGGACTCGTTGAAGTCTAAGCCCCCTTTCTCATTTTCCCTCCTCATCTACATGGCCATTGAGCAGTCTCCCAGCAAGTCTTTGCCTGTTAAAGAAATCTACGGCTGGATTCTCGAGCACTTCCCTTATTTCTCCAACGCTCCCACTGGCTGGAAGAACTCAGTTCGTCACAACTTGTCCCTGAACAAATGCTTCCGCAAGGTCGAACGGAGTTTGGGGAAGGTAGGTTGGCAAATTGTCTCCTAACTTTCACGCACTTCACACGGATTTAAACTTCAAAAACGGCGCCGTTTAAATTATGCTTCTCGAAACTGTTTTCATCACATCATTGTTTGAGTCTGCGATAGTCAAATATCCATGGGCCAAGATGTGTCTGCTTTGTTTTGCAAAACACAGTTGGTTAACAGTGTGTTGCAGTGTGACGCTGCAGTGGGGCTCATGTGACAGTGTCCGGGGCTGTAACACAGCCGCAGGGACCTCTGACTCTGCTGCGATAAGGGTGGAATCCAGTCAAGGTCACAGATACTCCTTTAGAGGAAATGCAAACACAGCACACTCAGACTTTATCTCCCGGAACACTGCGAGGTGGTGCAACTGTTTTAACCAGGGAGAGAAGCATCCCACAGTTGGAAACCTCGACCAAATGCGACCTAAAGTGCAGAGATGATTTTGTAGTATCACTGCAAGGAACAGGCTGTAGTTTTGCTGTATAGAAAATACAAAAAATATAGAGACGTTGACCATGTCATATCAAGGAGTCAATCCCAATGCAAGGACAGACACACCTGCATATCCTGCACAAACATTCTGAACTGGAAAATGAATGGGAAGTGAGTGAAATCTTTTGTTGTGAAATTGTGAGTTTACTTCCTAATGGTTGCAATTTCCATTTAGCTTGGAACAGAAAAAAGCTGCACAAATGAGCTAGAGAGGGTAGCTCTTAGGTTGGAAAACCTAACTGACTTTAAAGCTCCTCAAAACATGGTTTCAAATCCCAAACTAACAACGAACTAAGCAAAGTTAAAGCTCATAAAAACATATTGGGTGTTTTTTTTTTTTTTTTTAGGAGTCTAATACTATTAAAGTCAGTTCATCTGCTTCATCAATACTGTGAGGGTGTGGTTTGATCAGATTTGATTGACTAACTTTTAACAAACAACCCCAAAGCTGTCATCAGAAAAACAAAACATCTATCTCTCACGTGAAATAACAAAACTTTGACAGAAAATGTTAAATTCTCATAGTAAGAAACTTGGTTTTCAGGGACCTTTTAATAGAGTTTAAATGCTGAACATGTCAGTTTTTTGTTTCCCATTTCACATTTGTTGCTCAGATTTTGGAGAAAGGCAGGGAGGTTTTGTAAGAGTACAGTCAGACCTGTGTCTCACTGGAACGTAACCTAATTTGTATGTTGCCACACTGATCCAGGGAGTGACACGTTGGTAGCCATATTGAGCTGCAGTATGAGTTCAGACTTGTGACCGGTAGAGCCCGTGGTGCCAGGGCTGTGGCTGGCTAAGACCTCGTATTTTCCCACCGCGGGAGGGGATGATGGTTAGCACTCAGTGAGTAGCAACATGGTGAGACGCAGGCCGCTCAGCATGCAGGTGCACAGTGTGAGCCCTTCGTCTGCTGAGAGACCAGCACCAGTTTCACATGACACTGGCTGGTGGTTTCCGTTGCCATGGAGACATTTCCTTCTTCCTGCATCAGGGCTGGTTGGTAATCTGAGTCAAGGTTATTCTCCTCCCTCCCTCCCTCCCTCCCTCACACCCTCCCTCGCTCTATTCTCCTCCCAGACTGGGCAATACGCCGCCATCAGATAAAGTGACAGTTAACACACTCCCGCACACATCACCAACAGACAAATTCACTCCTCACACAGCACTGTGGGGCAGTTATTTCCTGCTTTTGTTCAGGCTGTTAAGGAATTCTTAGTTATGCGATTGCTATTTTCCACTGTTTTGTTTTATGATGAAGTGCTCCTCGCTTAAATTTTAAGACCGTAATGGATTCTGTCACACAGCACTATGCTGCTTTAAGTGCAGTACACTGGATGTGGTACTCATTGATTTTGTCAGCTTTCATTCAGAATTTTCAGAATTATTTTCACAAATAATTCTGTGCGTCATTTTGTTGGATTAAGAATAGGATATAGTCACAAATAGTTCAATATTATTACAGCAAGGCTGTATAATATTTATTGTGTTGCTACACTGACTAATCTCTTAAAGGTTAGGGTTACACTCTACCTTTTTTCTGATAAATAACAATCATTCATAGTGCTCTGCTTTCCCAGATCACCAAAATTGATCTCCAACTCTCTGAGTGGAGTGTTTTTGACCAGCGGCAAATGTTTTTCCGAGTGGTCCCTCATTTTGTGCCTGTGTACAAGGATGCACGCACGCACATCATCAATGTGATACATCGTCCTGTAGCTGGTTTTGCACTATTACACTGAGAGTCGGTTGTAAGATTTCAAGCTAGCAAACAGAAAATGCTACCTTGTATGTGTTATGAGAAAGGATTTAATGTGTGTTAGGCCTCAAGGATATACACAATAATTCCTGATGGGAAACACTAAATTTAAACTCCACAGGCTACCTTTAGATTTGTTTTATATAATCAAAGGACCAATCAGAATATATCTAGACACACTTGCGGCTGTAACACATTTGTGTAACGGGACAGAAATCAGGACTGATCCTACGTAAGAACGTCTAGATTTACTGGGCATAGACGTTTGACTGTACCTGCTCTTTCCTACAGGCCAATGGAAAAGGTTCTCTCTGGTGCGTTGACCCTGAGTACCGCCCCAACTTGATCCAAGCCCTTAAGAAGCAGCACTTCCCTGCCGCACATGCCTTCTGCACACCACCCGCCTCCCCACCCAGGTAAACTTCAATCAGCCACTGTCTGGACATTGAGAATTATGAGTGAGTTTGTATTGGCTTTGATGTTGCTGGAAATCACTTTTCAAACCAGAATTGGCACAGCAGCCCTGTCTCTGTCAAATCAGTATTACCATAATCCAATTATTTATTGGACTTGGCATTTTTAGCAAAGCATACATATATTTGCAGGTTTATATTTTTGGAGGTCTGTTTTTTTTTTTTTTTTTCTTTCCATCTCCTTTGCAAACACACAATCTGACCCTTCATGTCTTTTGTTTACCTTCTGCAGTGCCTCCTCACCCCCTCGCCATCTCTTTCTACAAGGCTGCTCATTCAAAGGTGAGACCAAAGCAGACTTGGCTCAGTGTTTTAAGTTTGGTTATGTACAATAAAAGCTGCCCGCCGAGCAAGAACCTGCAGATGTATAGAAATTTCAGTCTGTGCAGTTTTTTAGTTTGTGTTTGTCCGGTATTTTGATTATGTTGCCTTTGCACATTTCAGTCCCAGAACATTCAGCATCACTGTGCTTTTATCCTCAACTCTTGGTTTGATTTGTTGCTTTCAAGTCATTGATGCCTCATGTAGACCATAATGTTGAGAGCTCCCAGTCGATGTCTCAGCCTCCTCTTTCCCCCCACCTCTGCCTCTTGGATTTGTAACCTTGACGACAGGCAGAGGTTCTGCTGGTGCAGAGTGTCGAGCACTCAGTCTCACTGTAATCATTAATAATTTAGAGCCCCAGAAGTGAGCTATGAGGCTTTTAGACACTTTGTCAGGTCTGAAAAGATCAGATGCACTCTCAATATCAGTGGCTTGAATTTATCCTCCAGTTTGTTTCGGCGAAACCTTCTGCATAGTCAGTCCATTCAGTAAGCACTGACTGGGTCGCTGTTTCTCTAGTTTAAAATTATTGCAAGAATGCAGTCCTCCCAGTCCTAATAGAGATGCCATACTACCATGCTTTCACACCTTAGGACTGACCATCATGCATGTTCTCTCCTCTTCCAGAGTCTGACATTGATGCTGCCACTGCCATGATGCTCTTAAACTCTGCCCCCGGGCACCACGTTGACCCATGTAAGAGAATCCACAAGCAGCCATTACTTTCACCTATTCTTCCAACTCTTCGTCTCCTGCCCCTGACATTACCACCCTGTCATTGCTTAAATCTTCTTTTGTTTTGTGTGCTTTTAAGTTGTGATGTTGTGTGTCACCTGTTCTTACAAGCAAAATGTTGGTTCTTGAAAAGGAAAGTTTTTAAGAACGTTGCTTGCACCTGATTGCATGGGATTGCATGCAATTTTTCCTGCAGACATTCTTTCAAAGACACATTAAAGAAGTAGTTTGACATTTGGGAAATACTAGAGCTGTAAGCCGGTTAGCTTAGCTTGCCACAAAAATTTGAAATGGGGAGGAAATGTCTTACCTGGTTCTGTCCCAAGGTGGAGGAATCCACCTGCCAGACCCGCTAACACTCACAAATTAACACGTTGTTTGTTTTAATCTGTACAAAACCCAAACTTTTTGGCCTGGAGCAGTTGCCAGGCAACCATTGGCGATTCCAGGAAGTTACTGGTCTTCTCATCTAACTGTCCGCCAGAAAGCAAATAAGCATATTTCCCAAAATGCTGAACCATACCTTTAACGTCTGATTTATTGGAAAATAATTTTGTTGACAATATTACCAACTAAATTCAGCTTTATTAGTGTAGAATCTTTCTACACAGTAAATCATTAATTTCATGTGTTTTTATAAAAAAAAATAAAACTTTCTGCTACTGATTATATTTTTTACATTGGATCATAATTTATTTAACCAGTACTTAATTAATTTAATTCAATGACTGCAAAAGCTCTCTAAGGATCACTTTAGTGTGAGTGGCTTTTACTAATATTTTAATTTTCCCCGTTGATGGTAATTCAGCTTTAACATGCATGCAACAAGATATTTTTAAATCAGGTTTTCCCACTTGGGCCGAGACAACTCTTAGTTCTGCTTTATACTAAATAAACAGAGCTACAGTGTGTGGCTTATCGTCTCTGGTTTCTGCTTTTTTTGGGGCTGCCAAAAACAACCCAAAATAATAGCTTGTTTACTGTAAAGTTAAATAATTTTTAATAATCTATTCTCTCACTCTTTATATTTGTATATAGAAGCTCCTTTTTATTGTCTCTATTTTTTGTATCTTTTTATCTTTATTTATCATTGTGATACCAATGTACCAAGGCAAATTCCTCATATGTGAAAACTTAAAAGGCAGTAAACCTGATTCTGAATTAGGATGAGTCGCAACCTATTTAAAACCAACCATGACTATAACAAGCAAACTTTACAGCATCTGTCATGCTGTAACAAGCCAGTAAAATCTCCTTTTGCATTTGAAGGTACACTCATCACTCTTTCCTTCTCCTGCTCTCCTCAGGCAATTCTGACAGCCCACTGGACCTCTCCCGACCCGACTCTGTCCTGGTGAGCAGCGATCCAAAGCAGGACCACAACTACAGCAGCGTAGCCCTGCAGCGCTGCTCCTCTCGCTCCTCCTCCTCGTCTCTCTCCTCCCTGGACGAAGGAGGCTGCGAAGGCAGGCAGTCCCGCCGCGCTGGCAGCGAGGGCTTCCACAGCGACGAGGACTCCGACCTCTGGGACGAGAGGGGCGTCCACCAGACTTCTCGACGTCCGCCCGCCATCAAGTGGCCCGTCGGTAAGAGGCCACGGCGCGAAGTCAAGCCAGAGCTGGATGAGGAGCTGAAGGAAGCCGCGGGCTCGTTGCTGCACCTCGCCGGTATACGCAGCTGCATGGAGGGCTCCAAACGCACTGTCAAGAGCACAAAACTTAACAGGAAATGAAGATTTTTTTTTTTTGCCCCCATCAGACTCCGGACCCTGTGAACCCTAACCTCTGACCCCTGATCGTGTGTCCCAGTGTGCCTCCTTCTCCTTATCTGATCGTTCATTGGCCATTTTGAGCCTTTTTTTTTGTTTGGGAATATCCCTGTCCAACAAAACAAATGGCAATAGTATCGTTCACACAGGAGAACAAAGCCATATAGAGACTTTTGTAACTTCGGGGGTAACTGCTGGGGGTGGGTGTTTGGGCTATGGAGAACCATCAAGAAACCTATCCAAAATGACCTGCCCGCTTCTGTTGGATTAGAAGATTGTGATTCAAGAATTTTCCTCTGAAAGACAAAATGGGAAAAGCTGAAGGTTTTATAACTCAAAGCGTTGCATGCTTCCTCCTCAAACCTGTATCCTCTTCCAAGTGAATCTATTTATGAAGCGAATGAGTGCATGTTTGTAACAGACAAAATCTAACCTCCTGGTGTTATCAGTTCTCCTTTTTTGTGCTAAAGAAAAAAAAATGCCACTGTTTTTGAAAGGAATTCTTGCTCCACGAATCCTCTTGTAAGAGAGATGCAATAATTAATCCACAACCTTAACTTTTTTGACGTCGCGGTGGCATTTTTTCAGAGTCGAGTATGCTAGTTAAACTTTACAATTAAGAGAATGAATGGAGTAGTACTATGATCTTGTTATGCGATAAACTTTATTACACACGAGCTCCGGCTCTGTTTTCAGGATTAGCAAGATGTGGAAATAGTATTACTCTGCCACTGCCAAATTTAGTTGCAAAGTTAGCTATACTACTTCGCTCCGTTTTGTGTGGCCATTACCGTGCTTCTTCAAATGAAAGCTGTTTTTCATTGTTTTGCAAATCCACTGCTCACCCTGTCGATCCCTTTTCATTCATCAATGTGTTTTTTGACATTTACTGTGCAGACGCAGAACATATATTCACATGTTTGGTGACAGCCTATGCAAAGTGAACATTTGCCACGTATTGCCAGATGTTCACTGTGTGGCCATAGGTTATCCTCCATAGATTTTATTTTATATTTTTGCGTGCGTGTGTGTGTATCATAGTGCATGTCGACTTCAGCCTAAACCTGCGATGATGGTCGTGACAGAAAAGAGTTTGAAATGGTCAAACGCTTATCTTCTACTGACAAAGTAGTCATACTGCTCCAATGAATGTGATTGGTGTAATGACGGATCTCCTTGCTACAGCTGTATTGTAGGGCTGCTTGGTACTCTGCTTGCTTCTGGTCCTTTTTTGAGAGCTGGTTTATAGTCAGAAACAGGAGCGGACAGTTAATTACTACAGCTTATTGCTCCATTACTTGAGTTTGCAGTTTGATTATACCTCTCATGTGTTCTACTTGTGTTTTGAACCATGTACTTTAGAAAATTACAAAAATTATACAGCTAATTCTCTGTTGGCTGGTCCTGTGGCCAAGTTGATTCACAGCCTGAGGGAAAAGCGTGTGTGTTTGTGTTCAGATAAACGTAAGACGCAGAGCATAGGTGTAAAGAACGAGACGGGGACAACACGGTCGCGGCCAGAGAGAACTGGACTCCGTATGTGCAGTCGCTCGCAGGCGAGATGTTGAAGACCTGTGCTGCTCTCATGTTGTGCCCTCAGTTCTGGCTGGCCACTAGTGTTGCGTCCTTGCTCTTCCTCCCTAGAACAAAATAAGGAAGTGCACGCTCTCTTCTCACGCTGTGAAATGGAGTGTTTATTGTCAGTTGATTGCATGCAGTTCACTGAGGGGAAGTTGCGAGCCACTTGTGTAAAAGGCCACAATTCTAGTTTGAGCCTCTTTTTTTAAAAAAAGGCTGCATACTCGCAGCGTACAATACAAGGTAGCAGTGAAGCGCACAAGGGTAACCAACTGAAAATTATACAATGTTTTCCCACAGTACTGAATCACATTGTGTCACAGTGACTATTTAATATAGCGTGCATGGTCAGTGCCAAACATTTTCTTGTGCCACTGATGTAAAACTGCAAAGGCCCGTGGTCACTATATACACCCCCCCCCCCGTTGCCACAATGCAGTTGTGATTTAGAGCAACAATGCCCTACTTTTCTGAATCATCCGAACAGGAAATGGGAGAGGACTCAAGTCAGCACAGTGACTTAACCAATCTTTTGGTTTATTTTTGTCGCTTTGGAGTGGGAACTGTTCTCAGCAGAGTGCGCTGCAGTTCTCCAGAAATAATACTTGCATACACTGGTCTTGTTTAGCTGTGAAAAAAGAACAAATTATTGTTCATTAATCATCACCTTATTTATGACATTAATTTATGGGATTATTGAATGCTATCAAACACTGGTTATTTGAAACGAATGACTGGGCACATTTATTTTTCTCCCTCTGTGAACTCCTTTTTAATAAGTATTTTGTTTTTCACCTTGTTTTATTTTACAGCAATACACCTTATTTTCTTTCACTATGTTATAGTGATTAAGTATTTTGCCAATGTTTGTTGTCTTTAGAGCGGGTGTTTTTATTTTTATTTTCAATTTAACCATGACTGCCAGGTTTTCTTGATGTTTTGTTTTGCTTTGTGTTAGACTGGATAGAAGACAGTTAATTCACTTTGATCCTGAAACCTTTTGTTGCCAAAATTGATGTACAGCCGGGGTGTAAAATATAAGATGGACACATTCCCCATGTACTGTAGAAGTTCTTTAAAGATGATTGACTCATTTTTACATTTGTCTCATGTTTATGTTTAGATATTATGACTTGAGTAGTCACAAATTGAAGATTAGCTCTCGATCTCATCACAGATTACAATCTTTAAAAGAAAAATTACTGCCACTCATAACTCATGCTTCCAGGTATTGTTATGGGATGCTGAAATGTTTTGAATATCGCTGAAAACCGGATCAGACTAACTCAGTCCCCCAGGCTGCTACTGTTGTAGTTTCAGACCTACATTTAAGTATACGGACAAATGGAGAGACGCGTAGAGAAAAATCTCACTCATTCTTTCTGTAGCACTTGCAAAAATGTTCTGTTGCTCTCGAAGGCAACGCCGAGTCAGTGAGTTGATCTGTGGATGAGCTACCTAAACGTTTTCGGGGTCCGACTTACCAAAGTCTAAACCCAGTTGCTTCATTGCTCCAACAGCTGTTAATGAATATTGATTATGTGATTCTTAAACTTCTGTTGCAGTTCCTATGGGTATGATGAACATTTTGTTGCATTTGACAAAGCTGCCAACCCAGTATCAGTTTGTGTCAGTTGTCTGCCATGTCTATCGGACCGACACACCTTTTGGTTTTTGTATGCTAACCTCTGTTGATAAAATGTTTATAAGATTTATTTTCGCCAAAGATATGCAATTGCATTATATATGGTATTACAAAATATTAATAAAAACCTGTTCTTGTTACCTCTGTGAGCTTCTTTTTTATTTTAGCCTGAGTTGCTGCTTCTTTTTAATCACTGCAAATAAGGCTTGACACATTTCTTGCCCTCCAAACTCTCCTCCACAATACAAGAATGCCATCACTTTGCATGAGTAGCCTACACGACCTAAACTTTTGATCAACATTGCCACCTGCTGTGAAGACCCACAAGATCATCAAATTCTAGCTAATAATAGTCCATTCTTTAGAATAGCTGCCTCTCTGTGTGGCTGCTTTCTCAGTTTTCACATAACCATGTTACAGCTGGCAAATATTTCCCACCAAGTCCAGCAGTTCAGAGCTGTTTTGACTGCACAAGCTGTGCTCAGCGCTACGTGTGGCGGCTCCACCACACTTTTCCCTTTTTCTTCTGTGTGTCTTTTGAATGCACCAACGTGGCAGGCTGCCAGAAATGCACCTCACATTAATGTAAATTCCAGGGCTGTGCCAGTGATGGATGCATCATCAGATGTCCTAACGACACTCCTCGCTGTAAGTTAATTAGTCATGGAGGACTGTGGGATGAACACAGTGTGACCCTGAACAAGGGCTTGTCTGACTAGCCTCAGGCCCATTGGCACAGCTCTATTGTTCAATAGAGTCCTGTGTGTCGACTGGAAGAGGGGGGCTTCTCCCTACTGACTGCCTCAATTCAGCTGGAAATCAGAGCAGCATCACCTCCCCCCCTCCCACACGGCCCTAGCAACCACGCCACGCCGACAGTTGCCAGGCAACCAGACAATGCTGGAGCCACTGGCTGTGGTGTGCGTGTTAGAGAGTTTGTGTTTTTGCCTGTATGCATTTAAGATCAGGAGTAGTGAAACAGCAGCAGAGGAAAAGGCCTTTCTTTTAGGACAAAGCACTCGAGCAAATCCTTTTTTGTGAAATATTTGGCATTTTGCAAATTTAACTGATAGAATAAGAACTCCACTGTTATGATTTCTTTAAAGAAATAGTAATACTATGTGGGGAAAATATGAAGAGATTATTATGGATTAGGTGAAATTAATCGTGTAGGATTTGAGCAGTGATGGCTGCATTAGCAACATGTCATTTCACTTCTACTCTAAATGAGGTCATGTGCGTTTTAAAGAGAAATCACAGAGGCTATCGTTCCCAGTGCAACAACCCGCTTGTGATTTCTGACCTTGTTTTTGTTAATGCAACCCATACCACTCTCAAACTCAGCAGTAAATAATTCAGCAGTGACGTCACTGCACTTAATTGTAAATGGCATTAGGTCTAGGTGAAAGGAGAGGGGAGGAGGTTATAATAATACTACCTCCATTTCCTCTCATATATAGACCTTCCTATAATTATCTTCAAATATATGTACAATGTAATACAGTATATTGTATACATACATTGTAACCGGTGTTACAATAGTGTGTTTTCTTAGATTTCAAAATAAATATATAATAATAATAATAATAATAATAATAATTAATAATGTAAAAAATACTCCATTACAAGTAAGTAAAAGTCCTGAATTCAAAGATTACAACAGTCATTGTACATAAGTAATCAGAGTTTTAATATTACCTATATTTTAATATTAATATTTTTATATTAATATTACAAATTACTGATTCATTAATTTGAATTAATTGATATTTTTGTAGTTTCAGCTGTAGTAATTTGCTAATACTGTCAGATAAATGTAACTGGAGTATAGAATAAAATGTAGTGGAGTTTAAGTAAATCTATCTATCTGTCTGTCTGTCTGTCTGTCTGTCTATCTGTCTGTCTGTCTGTCTATCTGTCTGTCTGTCTGTCTGTCTATCTATCTGCCTATCTATCTGTCTGTCTGTCTGTCTGTCTGTCTGTCTGTCTATCTGTCTGTCTGTCTGTCTGTCTGTCTGTCACACCCTCAGACGCTAGACGGCGCCCTGTTTACACCAGCTCTCCACTTCTCTGTTGTGTAAACTTTGACCCCTGTCTCTCTCTCTCTCTCTCTCTCTCTCTCTCTCTCTCTCTCTCTCTGTCTCTCTCTCTCTCTCTCTCTCTCTCTCTCTGGTCGGATCTCATTCGAGGAGGATTTTTTTATTTTTTTATCTGCGGGTTAGAAAATGAAAGTATTCCCTTCAGACGAACGGGTGGTCGCGTCTGTTTGACCACACTGAGTGTTGGACAGGATATGCGCACGCAGCGGGTCTTCGTCGGCTGCTGTCACAGAACATGACGTTACATGTGTTACTCGGGATTTGTTATGCTACATAGCTAGGTGGCTAGTCGGCTAGTGCTAAATAGATTAAAAAAAAATACATCCGGCTTTAGAAATTAGCGTAAATCAGATGCCCAGCAACCAGTTCTGTCTCCGGGGCGTATTACCGACCCTCTGTCACAATGTATCCGAGGTCAGTTTTGCCAAGTAACGTTACAAGCCGCCTTGAAGTAGTCGGTAATAACGGGGAGCTAGCTAGCCTGAGTTAGCCAGGTTACAGCTACACCGTTGTCTGTCGTCAACATTGTCAAAGCAGCTGTCGGTGTGAAGAACAAGCTTACTGCACAGCCCTGCAGGATAGACGGTGCCAGCAAGGATACCACTCTCCCCCCCCCACCCCCACAATATCATCAACTATTAGCGACGGGATAACGTTTCCAGCGACAATGGCTAACGTTACAGACCTGCAAACAAAATACAGCAAGCTGGCACAGGAGTACTCCAAGGTAACACACCGCCTATGTTACGTAAAGTTAGACATGCACAGGTTGTTGCCACCTTTACTCACTGTATCAGGATGCATGTGTGATCAGTGATTTCATATTTAAGGCTGACCATGCAGACACACACACACACACACACACACTCTTAACTCTGCAATAAATCCTACCTTCAGGAAAGTTGTATTCTTTTAGAGAGGTGTTGATTCAACTTCATGCACTTTAAGGTAAGTTTGGAGTATGTATTTTGTGTAGCAGTTGATTTATAGTGTGTTTTTACTAAGGTTTTTAATCATTTAGATGATATTTAATATGGCCTGAACACCAAACAGTGAACTGCTATATGGGATCTTAATAGACTGACAACTCTGAGAATAATGACATTTTAAGTGACCAAAATAAATATAAAAATCACTCTGTGTTCAAGTGCTTTTAACAGTTTTAAACGTTAAGCTTCTGTGTCCTGGTTGTCTCTTGTGAGCTGTGTGCGCCCTTTGTTTCTGTGTCAGCTGACATCACGGGGAGCGTGTGCTGCTTCCTGTTCAACTCTGATCTCCCTCGCAGCCAAGCACCATATCCTGCTCAGGAAGTGCTGACTGTGTAACTGTCACACATACGGCCGTTGTGCTTAATTATGTGTGTGTTTTTAAAGGGCACTAGCCTCTTCGTAATGTGCACAATAGGATGAAAAAAAAAACCAGCAACCACACACAAGCATATGGCAGATTTACTGTGTTAAGGCAGATGTGAATTCAGTTTAAGATGCTGCATACATCTTTATTAATAAATTGAAAACTGCATTTTATTTATTTATTCTCAGTCCTGACCACTGATGATGTTTTATGTTGTATTTATGTTTTATGTCTGTGTCCTTTCACAGCTCCGTGCCCAGAACCAGGTGCTGAAGAAGGCAGTTGTGGATGAACAGGCCAGCTCTCTCTCACTAAAGGTAAACATATAGTATATAATAACATATAACCAAACATATAAGACAGGAGCAATTATTATGACCAGAGCCACAATTTCACTCTTGATATGGGCTACATAATGAACTACACCCTGAACCCTGAACACCAACAGTTGTCAGGCTAGTCTTAAATCCTAATGGAGAAGTGTTTGTTTATTTCTTAATCAAATCCAGATGGTCACCTAATCTGATAAGTACTTGTTGCACTGTTGCTATTAGTTAAGCTGGAGTTGTGCAATGGCAACTCTGCTATATTTGCCAGGTAGCCTTTCTGTTTAATCAAGGCAAGGAGTCCAAATTCTGCAACAGTGCATCGTGATTTACACGTAGTGATTTGCCTAATGTGTTACTTTGGAATAAGACTTGTCCAGCGCTGTTATGCCCATCACGTGTTTGTCCGTCATCAGGAGCAGCTGAAGCAGAGGGATCAGAGCCTGAGGAAGCAGGAGCAGGAGATGGACAGTCTGAGCTTCAGGAACCAACAGCTGGCCAAGAGGGTGGAGCTGCTGCAAGAGGAGCTTGCTGTCAGTGAAGCCAAGGGCAAAAAGGGGAAGGTGATCATGAGGGTTGATCAAGGGAGTGGCTACACAGTCTAGAGGGAACTGTAATTTTTTGTAATGGTCACAAAATGATTCATTAATTTCTGTTGTGAAATTTCCAAAGTCAATGATGATTATGATTCAACACTGATGTTTGTTGAGCCAAACAATCATGATTTAAAGCCCCCTGTTTTATCTCTACCTCCTCCAGAGTAAAGGAGACTCTCCCTCACAGCATGGCCTGGAGACCCAGAGTGTTTTTGATGAGGACCTGCAGAAGAAGATAGAAGAAAACGAGCGACTTCATATCCAAGTAAGAAGCCATATCGGCCTGTCATTGTTGTGTATATACAGTTACTGTACTGAGGAGGCCTTGCATGTGATGGTGATGTTTTCTGCTGTGCGCTCATTAGTTCTACGAAGCAGACGAGCAGCACAGGAGGCAGGAGGCCGAGCTGAAGTCACGACTACAGGAGCTGGAGAAAGACTCGGAGCAGCACCAGGCTGTCGTGGACGGACTTACCACTAAATACATGGACACAATCGAGCGGCTGCAGAGTGACAAAGCACGTTTAGAGGTGACGATAAGTAGCACGAGGAGGATGAAGGACGTTACATTAGTCAGTTTTTAATAAAGATCAATTAAAATGTGTGTATTTTTCCTTTCTTTTCGATAGGTGAAAACGCAGACCCTGGAGAGGGAAGCAAAAGAGTGCAGAATGCGAACAGAAGAGTGGTACATCTTCCTTATTATTCACAGTTTGAGAATAGTTAAATCCATTGATATATCCAGTGATTTACATGTACAGCAAAC